AGCAGGAAGGATTCTGGTGTACGAGGGATATTTTGAGCTATGATGTTCTCCATCTGTAGTTTTACGTCTGTCTAAAACTGTTGGATCTTGGGGCAGATCCACCAGCAATGCAGGTAAGTCCCTAGTGGTCCACAACCTTTCCAGCATATGGGGCTTCTGGTTCTGCTAAATTTGTGTATTTGCTGGGGGGTTAAGTACAATCTTGAGTCAGTTTTGAAGAACTGGGATTTTATGTTGTACATCGTTGAGCTACTCGCTGGAGAGTTCCAGATGGTTTCCCAGTCTATCTCTTGCCAGTGCACGTCTAGCTCTTCCTCCCACTTTATTTGATGTCTCATTTTTGTGGAGGTGTCCGCGATGACTACTATGAGGAAAGGTTAAAGCGCTTAGGGCTCTTTAGCTTGGAGAAACGACTACTGAGGGGTGACAATACTGAGATAGAGCAGGTATTGGGATAGAGCAGGTAGAGAAAGAGGTACTTTTCTCCCTTTCTCACAGTACAAGAACTCGTGGGCACTACATGAAATTGCTGAGCAGTCGGGTTAGAACAAATAAAAGGAAGTACTTCTTCACCCAAAGAGTGATTAATACATGAAATTCACTGCCACGGGAGGTGGTAGCAGCTACAAGCATGGATGGCTTCAGGAGGGGATTGGATAAGCATATGGAGCAGAGGTCCATCGGTGGCTATTAGCCACAAAGTATAGATAGGAACTCCGGGGCAAGTGATGCTCTGTATTCATGGTGCTTGGGGGGGGGGTCAACAGTGGGAGAGCTTCTAGTGTCCTGGCCCCACTGCTGGACCTCCTGATGGTACCTGGTATTTTTGACAGAAACTGAAAAAAAGGGGGGGGGGGCTCAACCCAAAATCAGCTGTGAACTAAAAGGGTCAAGCTAACAACTATATTATAAAAATACAAATCTTTATTAGGGTGTAGAATTCAAAAGGATTTCCCCCCGTGTGCGTTCTTTGGTGCAGTCAAAGAGTACCACTATGTTTGAATCTCGTTCCACACACTGAGCATTAGAATCATAGAGTTGGACTCTTTAATATGACTGCCTTGCTGGACTGTGAGAAGTGTGTGCCAGAGTAATGGACAAAAAACAACAAATAACTGTTTCACACCACAGCCATTAAACCAATTTATACCATCTATTAAGACACAAATATTACGAGCAATGAAAATATATGTCAACACATAAACAAAAAGGACCACTCTTCATGTATTTCTATAAATCATGCTGTAGAATCCAAATTATATTCAAACACAGACACACCCAAAAGTCACTGATCGCCAAAGGAATCTTCCCAAAACTGAAGACATCTCATAATTAATTGCAGTTGCTGACGGCGTTAAACTCCATGCCGTTCATTCTTGCAAAAATGTAGAAGCCCCAGTTTAATCACAACTTGAACAGGTGAGAAAACTGAAGATGACTTGAAGCTTGAAACTTGCGATTTCATGCATTTGCCAGCTTTATGGGTTACCGCGTTTTACTGATTCTTTGTCAAAAGTCAATGTTCTCTCCTATAGCAATAAATTCAAGAAGAATCTACAAAAGTAAAGTCGATACAATCGGGGCCATTGACTCAAGTCACATTTTAGCTATTTAAGGTGGGCTCTCCCTGAGCTCACTCTCTTGCTTTTTCCTCTCCTAATCCCACCCTACCTTGTTGGTTCCATTCTTGGACAGTTGGGAATCAGTCCACATGTGCTGCTGGTAAGCTCACAATCCCTTCCCCTTAGTGTGTCTTATTTTTCGCTGCATTATGCTAATGTCTCGTCAGACAGCTAACATATTATCCACCAATGATATTCCTGCTCATGCAAATGTCGCTATCCTTTCAACTCTGTATTCCTAGCTCTGTATTGTGTGTGTGAATGCTTGATTATTGTTTGTATGCTTGACAACATTTAGTAAAGAAATCAATTATTTCAGCAATATTGTCCCTGTGACTATTTGTGGGCTCTGGGAATTCTGAGTCCGTATACACAGGTTATGATCCTATATTTTATGCCTATTGCCATTTAATATTTATAATTCCCCAAGCTTCTTAAAAAATAAGGCAATTTGGCTAACAAAGGGACCTCCAGGGTCATCTAGTCCAATCCCCTGCACAATTCAGGAAATTCACAAATATCTCCCCCCACAAATATCAAGTGACCATTGCTCCATGCCCAGAAGATGGAAACCCCACTCCCCACAAGCATCAAGGATCCCTGGCCAAACTGGCCTGGGAAAATATTGCTTCCTGACCCCAAAATAGTGATCAACATTTCCCTGAGAATGTAAGAGAGGGCCACAAGAAAGGAGGAGGAGGAGATTGGATCTATACCCCACCCCTCACTGCCCAAAGGTGTCTTAGAGTGGCTTACAAACTCCTTCCCCTCCCCACAACAGACACCCTGTGAGGTAGGTGGGGCTGAGAGAACTCTGACAGAGACTGCTCTTTTTCAACAACAGCTGTGCCAGAATTACGGCTTGCCCAAGGTCATCCAACCAGGAGCAAGTGGAGGAATGCGGAATCAAACCCGGTTCTCCAAGATTAGAGTCCGCACACTTAATTACTACACCAAACTAAGCACTAACGCAACACTTCCTGCCCTCCCTTCTCGTGATCTGCCTAAGTTCACCGAACCAGTATTCTTGTCACGTGGCCCTCTAGCGTCTGTTTAAAAACCTCCCAAGAAGGAGAGCCCACCATCTCCCGAAGGTTCAAAGGTTTTCTCCACTGTGTGGGTTATCTGATGCTGTTGAAAATAGCCACTCAGACTGACTCTCTTTCCACGCTCTGAGCATTCAAAAGATTTATTTCCTGTGTGGGTTCTCCAATGCTGGTGAAGATTCGAACTGTCAATGAATCTTTTCCCACACTCTGAGCACTCAAAAGGTTTCTCCCCTGTGTGGGTTCTCAGATGCCGTTGAAGATTCGAACTCTCAATGTATCTCTTTCCACACTCTGAACATTCAAATGGTTTCTCCCCTGTGTGCATTTTCTGATGCCGTTGAAGATTGCCACGTTTGCTGAATCTTTTTCCACACTCTGAACATTCAAAAGGTTTCTCCCCTGTGTGGGTTCTTTGGTGCACTTGAAGAGTGCCATGTTCAGTGAATCTCTTTCCACACACCAGGCATTCAAAGGGCTTCTCTCCTGTGTGGGTTCTTTGGTGCAGTTGAAGATGGCCACTCTGACTGAATCTCTTTCCACACTCTGAGCATTCAAAAGGTTTCTCCCCTGTGTGAGTTCTCTGATGCAGTTGAAGACTGCGACTCCTACTGAATCTACTTCCACACTCTGAACATTCAAATGGTTTCTCCCCTGTGTGCATTGTCTGATGCCGTTGAAGACTGCGACTGTCACTCAAACTCTTTCCACACTCTGAGCATTCAAAAGGTTTCTCACCTGCATGTGCTAACTGATGCAGTTGAAGACTGCGATTCCAACTGAATCTCTTTCCACACTCTGAGCATTCAAAAGGTTTCTCCCCTGTGTGGGTTTTTTGATGCTGTTGAAGATTTCTACTCCCAATGAACCTCTTTCCGCACTCTGGACATTCAAAAGGTTTCTCCCCTGTGTGGATTCGTTGATGCCGTTGAAGATTGCGATTCTCAATGAATCTCTTTCCACACTCTGGACATTCAAAAGGTTTCTCCCCTGTGTGGGTTTTTTGATGCCGTTGAAGATGATAACTCTGATTGAATTTCTTTCCACACTCTGAGCATTCAAAAGGTTTCTCCCCTGTATGGGTTCTCTGATGCTCTTGAAGAATGCCACTCCGACTGAATTTCTTTCCACACTCTGAGCATTCAAAAGGTTTTTCCCCTGTGTGGGTTCTGTGATGCTGCTGAAGAGTGCTCCTCCAACTGAATCTCTTTCCACACTCTGAGCATTCAAAAGGTTTCTCCCCTGTGTGGGTTCTCTGATGGTCTCGAAGAGTGGCATTCTGACTGAATCTCTTTCTACACACAAAGCATTCAAAAGGTTTCTCCCCTGTGTGGGTTCTTTGATGTTCTTGAAGATGGCCACTCTTATTGAAACTCTTTCCACACACTGAACATTCAAAAGATTTCTCCCCTCTGTGTATTTTTTGGTGCACAAGGAGCTGTGATCGATTTTTGATGTACTTTCCCCACTGAATGCATTTACTTCCCTTCATTATCCTGAGCATTGGAAAATGTACATTATGCTTTCTTCCATCTTGCTTCTGAACCAAATGGCTGTCTGTTTTTCTTTTAGGTTTGCCTCGATTCCTGACATTTTCTTTCAGGTCTTCATTTTTAACTCTATCTGGCCTTTCCTGATGAAGTTCCTCACCCTCCTCATTCCTCTGATCATCCTTTGCTGGAATAAATAGAGAGAACCTGTTAGCGCCTGGAAGGTCCAAAGGCATCTATCTGATTGGAGTAGAGGAGGATTGATGACCCTTTGGCCTCAAACACCTTTACTGCTCTTACCACCCCTCCACCTTTCCCCAGAATATCTAGTATCAAAGTGTAAGAATGTATGTAAAACCCCGGTCGCTATAGAATCCATTGAGGCCTGAAGCCTTTGCTCCTATCATACTGCAGCATATTCATACAGAGGCATCTCAAAGTGTCGTTGGCAAGACTATGGCAGGACTCTGAATCATAAACGGCCGCTAACAATTGATGATCATATTATCGTCATTTTGAAAGTATGAAATAAACAAGATACGTTGCCAGGAAGCTTTTGGCAAACGGCAAACGGTGTCAGGTCTTGTAGCAGCAAGATTTGTTTATTGAGCGGTAGAGAGATTCCAAGCACAGACAGATTCTGTGCCGGAACTGGTCTCCAGGTGCCAGGTCCGACCCTATACTAAAAGCAGGACCCCCCCCCCCATGCCAGGCAACCTAATCAATATTCCCATTCAGCCTGCCAAATATCTGAGCCTGCCCTGATAGCTGTCCGCAGCACCTGCAAACTGATGGTTACACTATCTAAACGCTCCCCTCGTTACAAGGTCATGCAGGACAGCGTCATACAAAGCAGGCATTCACACACACACACACACACACACACACACACACATCCACTCCGCCCCATCCTAGCAGAGAAGATAAACAGCACTGAAGTATTTGGCCAAGGAATACATGTAAATGAAAACCGTGGAATAAGTATATCAGAGAAAGCTGTTAACCCTTAATGCAACAGAACATGAATTTGGCTGGAAGGCATCATATGGCAAGCGAGACCTGAGCGGGACAAACAGCTTTTGTGAGGAGCTTGAACGGGGAGAGCATAGTTTTTAAGGGAACTGATGGGCATACGTTTGACCTATTCTACACGTGCAATAGGGGGATGGAGATTGCAGAGCGAAAATGGTCTATAGTAGATTGATAAGAAGAAGAAGAGGAAGAGAAGAGATTGGATTTATACCCCGCCCTTCACTTGGAGTCTCAGAGGGGCTTACAAACTCCTTTCCCTTCCCCTCCCCACAACAGACCCCCTGTGAGGTGGGTGGGGCTGAGAGAACTCTGACAGAAACTGCTCTTTTTCAAGGACAGCTGTGACTGACCCAAGGTCACATCAGCAGGTGCAAGTGGAGGAGTGGGGAATAAAACCCGGTTCTCTCAGATTAGAGTCCCAGATTTAACCACTACACCAAACATAGAATGTTACAGAATATTGACCCGCTTAGATCCGTTTAGAATCTAAGATGAGGGAGTTTTCGATCGCTTGGAAATTCCCCAATTGACATCGGCTAATGATTAGTTTGTTCTTGGCGGGAAGTACCGGGAACAATAAGATGTTTGGCCTTTTAGGAGGAACTGGTCTGAAGCGAGAAATGGAGAAGCAAAAAACAAGCAGGTAGATTTACACAGAGACCTCCTCATTTTTTGCTCTAAGGATTTTTGCTCTGAGGATAGACCTTTATAAACTTATAATATACTAGCCGTAAAGCCCGTTGAGGAGGAAGACAACGGGCCCTAGAAAGGTAAGATGGGTGGGTGGGCCATGGGTTGGGGGGGGAAAGCCGGCGGACGGGACCTCCAGGTGCTGTTCTCTGGCCTGGAGTGGGGGGGGCGGTAGTTCGCCGGCCTGGAGTGGGTGTTTGGGAGGGGAGGCAGCGGACGGAGCCTACTGGCTCCGTTCCCGGCCTTGCGTGGGTGGTTGTTTGGGGGGGGGAAGCCGGCGGACGGAGCCTGCCGGCTCCGTTCCCGGCCTGGAGGGGGGGGTTGGGTGGGCGGGGGGGAAGCCGGCGGACGAGCTCGGCACCACCGTCTCTCTAGCCGTCGGAGCTCCTGTTTCATAAGCCGCAACCCCTGGGTATACCAGGGGGCAAGCCTAGAGCGAGGGCACAGAGGGCGCCGGGGAGCGATCACGTCGATGGTCGTGGCGAATCGGCTATGCCAATCGTCCACGAGCTCATCCAACGAACCGTCAGGGGGCATCAGATCCCGCAGAGCCATCTGAAACCGCATTGGGTCCATCAAGCTCCGCGGGCGAGCTAAAATCTGCTCACCGCCTAAACAGGAGCTTTTGTGAGGAGCTTGAACGGGGAGAGCATAGTTTTTTAGGGAACTGATGGGCATACGTTTGACCTATTCTACACGTGCAATAGGAGGACGGAGATTGCAGAGCGAGAATGATCTGTAGTAGATTGATAAGACATAGAATGTTACAGAATATTGACCCGTTTAGATCCGTTTAGAATCTAAGATGAGGGAGTTTTCGATCGCTTGGAAATTCCCCAATTGACATCAGCTAATGATAGTTTGTTCTTGATGGGAAGTACCGGGAACAATAAGATGTTTGGCCTTTTAGGAGAAACTGGTGTGAAGCGAGAAATGGGCTCCCTCCCCTCCCAGCCACCCAGCCAATGGCAGGTAGCGTCTTCTGAGTGGCATTTTTTCCGTCCAAACACTAAGGGGGCGCATTTTAGAACGTGGGTCCCGACTACTCGATTATAATAAGGAGAGATTCAAAGGTACATAATTATTTGCACATAGTTAAGATAAGAGACTTGAGGTGCCTCCTTGAGTTCGCTATGGATGAATTCTAAGGTTGCAGTGAATCTATAACCAGGCTGTGAGAGATCTGTGTTGATGGCACATTATTAAACCCACATTAAGCATTCCATGGGGTCGCGAAGAGTCGGACTCGGCTGTGCGACTGAACAACAACAAAGCATATTACATGGAGTTTATATTAACATACTATATAGAATTCACATTAAATCCATTTTACTAATAGTACAGATTAATAAGGTTTGTTAGTTTATAAGATTAGGTTATTAGTTTAAGATCTGGACTGTAAATGCTATTTGGTATTATCCATATTATTACCAACGTTACTAAGTTCACCATCCCATACTGTGATCCACATTACACCAAGAAGTGGATTGTAGCAGATCGCTGGGAGTAAGGCATAAGATGAGACACTCAAAATGGATGCCTAAGACTCAAAATGGATGACTGGGGAAAGAGGATAGCTGAAGACAAGGTCAGGGAGACCTTAGCAAGTTTGAGGAATTGGCCAATTGGAGAAAGATTCCGGGAAGGGATCCGGGGAACGTTAAGGGGACAGTGAAGTCACGGTCAAACTAACCCTGGCAGAGGTGTCCACCTTTGGCAAAGCAGCCTAGGAGATATATCGAGGGTCGAGATGACAATTGGCAAAGAAATCTAAATGGGACTTACGTAAAGGGGCATTGGTAGGAGAAAGTCCAAAACCAGGATAGTCCCCAAGGTCCCAAATTGAATAATAGGGACTTTCCTCGCCATAAATGATGTCCAAGGAGCTTGGAACGATTCTGATTGGATAGCAAAGGTGAGCAGTGTGGCGTCCTCGCTTATTGGGGGCACTGTTTTTATCTTTAAAGCACTCTCTGTGTACCTAAGCTTGGTAGATTTCTGCTGCCACCAGGAATTAAAAATTCCAACTCTCTCTCTTTTGGTAGAATGACCTAGAGTCTGGGCACTTATGAGGACTATGTGGCCCTGAGGAAGGACTATTCTGATTTCTGGGATAAATTTAAACAAAAAATGATTTAATCAAGAACAAAAATAGGTTTCTGGTTATTTTGAACTGTTGCTGATGAAAGGAACTTGTAATTATAACTGGCAAAGCTTGGTGTCACAAACAGTCTCTCAGACTCCCAAAACTCCACTCTGACAGGCGTAGACAGTCTAATCTCTCTCTCTCTCTCTCATCTGTATAGCCACACAGGCTGAACTCTTTCTCTTATTCACACAGAACAGACTCAAAATCTCCCATAGTCACACAGACTAAGCTCTCTCTTCAAACTTCACACACACACAGAATCACTCACATAGACACCCCTCCTCCTCCCACAATCTCAGTCATCAGCCAATCACATCACACTTGTCTCCCTTGATCACCCTTCTTACAGTACTGCAGTCAAACTAAACATTTAAAGAAACACACAAACCAAAACATGAAATCATTATAGGCAGAAACACCGAAACGTGTATACGAATGGAGGGAATAGCCCAGTGGAGTCAGGTCAAGAGAGAATTGCACCTGCACTCTCTCTCTTGTTGCACTTCCTAAGAAGGTGAGGCTCTCTCTCTCCTACCAAGCTTCATATTTTATTTATCTTTCTGATTTATACCCCGCCCTCCCCGCCGAAGGGGAGGTATATTGCTGCAATGCTGCTATACTCTTTGGTTACTTCTTGCTTACTTCAATAACATAATTCCTTGCTCTTTGTTTACTTTAATGAAGTAATGGCTAAGCTGAAGTGATATAAAGCTGAGAATGATGATTACGGATGCACATAAAATGTATTTCTCTTGTAGTGCGGGTTGAAATCTCAAGGATTCTAGATGTGATCCCAAGGAAAAAAAAACCTCTGTCAGATTATGTATCAATAAACTTTCATAAATTATGAATTTGGAGTTTAGTCTTCTCTTTTCCTGGGAGTACCTTTTCTCAAGGTACTCCCAGGAAAATTCAAAGATCCTCTCTCGTAGCCAAGAGCATGACCTGGGATGAATACAGGCTAACAGAAGGATACATCACACGCAC